AATTCAGCCTTCCCTTACCCGCGGGTAACAAGTACAGCCCCGTGAAAGGTTTTCACGGGTAAGTTATTATCTCGGGAACCTCGGAGTCTAGGAGGCTAAAATTTTAGGGTAATGACCCACTCCCCATGCTCAACCTTGCCCATCCAAAATCAGCCTTCCCTTACCCGCGGGTAACACGTACGGCCCTATGAAAGTTTTTCACGGGTAAGTTAATATCTCGGGAACCACGGAGTCTAGGAAGCTGAAGTTTTAGGGTGATGGCCCCCTGCCCACGCTCACCCTTGCCCATTCAAACTCAGCGTTCTCGCGCTCTCGGTTGCCACCTACGGCCTCGTGAGAATTTTGGCGGATAAACTATTAAATCGCGGAAAAGATATTCATCCTTCAAGGTTTCGAATTCAGTTTTCATACGCTGGTGCGTGAAATTTTTGTCTGGTTTTCAATGTTTGAACTATTTTTGCATAGACTAAAGTACAAAGCAGTGAAAATCATTAACAGGCAACCGTTCGATGGGCTGAATTGCACAAAACGCATGATCGCAACCGGCTAGTCTGGTACGCGTTGCCATTTTTTTGCATAGCTCCCTGCAGATTTTCGTTAGCGACGAAAATCTGCAGGGAGCTATGCAAAAAACGCAGCTTCGCACTGGCAGCCCGTGCGCTGGCCAATTATTCTCTCCTCGTCTGCTGTGTCGGGTCTTTCCACAGCGGTATATTGCTTGGCAACGGCCATGTCTGGGACCGCACATTCATCGCCATTTCAGTGTATGTTTTGCCAAAAATACCATTAGTTGTTGGCCTCTCTCGCTCTCCCTGAGCTGCTGAATTAGGTATGGAGCGATAGTGCGTTGATTGCGAGGGCCAACATTAGAAAGGTGTAAAAATAAGAAAAATTGTGAAAAATTGGTTATTTCGTTCCATCCGCTCCCCTTTTTTCTTCATTCATCAGTTTCCTGTCTGGTGTAGTGCTTGGTAGAGGATAGGATGAATGAATTTGAGCAGAAGCGCATGTACGCAGCTTGTGGCGGTGCGCTTTTAAGCCGAAGCTGTTGGTCCAGTCGCTGTATGATTCGTTCGCTCGCTCGTACAAATACAAGAGATTATTATGGGCATTCCTAATAAGGAGGGCGAGCTATTGTCAACACAGTTTTAAAAGGATCTTTAGTGGATGTATGGCAGCTGCTGGCAAGAAGCTGCGTTTTCGAGTGCCACGATCGCAAAATGGAGGGAAGTGCGGCAAAAGGGCGAAGGCTGAAGTGGAAGGCAAATTTGAGAAGTGATTTTTTCTGAGCTGTGATTGATGCTACCGGTTTACAGGATGGTGGTGTGTTGAAGCAGATTTTGGTCGAAGGGACCGGAGAGCACCATCCTTCTAATCATGATACAGTATTTGTGCACTATGTTGGCACGCTTGAAAATGGCGAAGAGTTCGATTCGAACCGCCATGGAAAAGAACCGTTCAGTTTCACTTTGGGCAAGGGACAGGTCCGTTCATTTTTGAGTCAGTGGCGCTGGCATAAGTTTGAGGAGTGATCGGCAACGACCTTAACTTCCTCAGCACAGTGTGTAGTTGTTTTCTTGGCTTTTTGGTTTCATGCAACATCCGTTGTAGGTTATTAAAGGCTGGGATCTTGGCGTTGCCACCATGAAGAAGGGTGAAAAATGTTTGCTGACCTGCCGAGCTGGTTATGCTTATGGTGATGGCGGTAGCCCGCCAAAAATTCCTGGCGGTGCTACACTCAAATTTGAGGTGAGTAGTATTTGCAGTTTTTTGCTCGTTGGGTCGGGGAAGGGTGGTATTTTTCGTGTGTAAGTTCTGGGTTGTGATTTGCAGATAGAGTTGCTGCGCTGGCAAGGCGAAGACATCTCGCCAGATCGCGATGGTTCAATCACTCGATCTGTTATTGTGCCGGGTGAGAAATATACAAGCCCTACCGAAGGCGCTACGGTGAAAGGTTGCGTTCACTTTCGTTTTAAATTTGTGGTTGTTAGACGTACCTGTCTTTTTGATCGTCTTTGCTTATAATCTGCATGTGTTTAGTATGCGCTGTTGGATCGTATGAGGGACGAGTTTTTTACGACAAGGAAGTGTCTTTTGTCGTGGGCGAAGGTACAGAGGTAAAAAAATATTGCGATGTTTTCTTTTTGAATTTGAGTTGTTCAGCAAATGATTGAAAATAGGCCGAGGATAAGCATTTTGCTCGCATGCAGCAAGATGCAATGATCAGAATTCTCGGAAGCGATGAACACTGATGCTGAGTGCATGGGCGCTCACTGCACTGTAAATGTGTGATAAGTTTCTTTGTCACAATTTTCAGGCAGGCCTTCCAGAAGGCGTCGATCGTGCTGTCCGTCGTTTCAATAAGGGGGAAAAGTCGAGCATTCATTTGAAAGGGAAGCGATTCACATTTGGTGACAGTCCACCACCGCAGTACAATTTGCCGCCGAATGCTGAATTGGATTTCACTTTGTTTCTCAAGGAGTACGAAAAGGTAAACAATTTGCCAAGCCTCTGGAGGTTGTTTTGTACTGTTTTTTACTTCCGGGGTGAAATCTCCCAGTCTCATTCAGAGTATGAAAAGTAGCTGTGTGGGCCGATGGAAGACTTTAATGATGCGGTGTTCGTTGCTTCATTCTCCGTTTCTTTGGTACATTGGAGTTCTCTGTGTATTGTTATGGCTTCATCGTTTAGATGAAAGCTCCATGGGAGTTGACAGGCCCGGAGAAGCTTGACGCTGCTGAGGCTGTGAAAGAGCGCGGGACAATGTTCTTCAAGCAAGGTAAGCTACGACTGGCTGCTGCCAAGTATGCGCGCATTATTGAACTTCTGGAATACGAGAAATCTTTCGAAAATGAAGCCAAGGAAAAACGCGATGCACTTCTTCTTGCCGGCTATTTGAACAGGTTTGCGCGTGCATCCATCTGTCTGTCATTGTAAATGCATGTGGAATGGCATGTCATTAATGTTGAGAATTTAAGTGCGCTTGTTTCTGCGAAACAGAATGAAACAGTGGAGTGTATCAAAAACTGCGACAAAGCACTTGAAGTGGATCCGAAATGCATCAAGGCCCTCTATCGCAAAGCTTTCGTAAATTTTTTTTACAAAAGAACTTTTTTATAAAATATTAACTTTGGCTTTGTTGTGATAAGTTGGAACCACCTCTGATCAATGTATCTGACAACTCTTTTGTGGTTCTTATGACCGCCTTCTTTTCAAAAAGTTGTTTTTTTTAGGCGTTGCAGGAGCAAAATGATATTGAAGAGGCGGTTGCTGTATACAAAAAAGTGCTCGAGTATGAACCACAGAATAAGGTTTTTTGTTACAACACAAGACATTTCGAGCTGGGATCGTAGCGCTGCACCGTCCGATTTCTAGTTTAGGACTTAAGAGATACTGGGTGGCGTGCTTTCTTGACATACTTGTGGTGCTTAGCAGCGCATTTTTGCTTCATTTGCGTAACTGCTACCGATAAAAAAACGAGCGTTCGGTGTACTAGCTTATGCAGCTATAAACGAAAGAAAATGCACTTCAGTTCTGATCCCTCTGTTAAAAATGCTGGTCTGTTTGCAGTGCTGTTGCGCGTTGGATGCTTAAATTATACATTTGGAACCCTTTGGTATGAGAGCACTATTTCTTACCTTTGCTAATTCGCTTTAAGCAATTCCGCATCGGCTTCAGTACTTTTTTGGTTAAGTTCTACATTTTGTTTAGGGAATCCTGGGTTCATCCCACAAATACGTTTTTCCTAATTCGGCTAAAAAATTGCCAATTTTCGTGTTTGTCTCAATTTTTGTTTTTTATTTTCCGGCAAAGATTGTTGTGAAAACCATTGATTGCTGTGAAATCTCAGCCAGGGCAAAAGAGGAGAATCCTATCACCATAGCAAGGAGTTGATTGGTGCCTTTTTTCTCAGTTCCAGCTTCAGTTGCATAACTTCAGGCAGCAACAACTCAGATAGTTGCATGTAAGAAAAAGCTGGCAGAAATTCGTGTGCAGGAGAAAAAACGATACAAAGGAATGTTCGAGAAATTTGCTGCTGAAGAAAGGGTGTGTGGTTGAGTTTTTCGAATTTAAGACATTTTTTTTTTTTGGTTGTCATGAGCTGTACGTTACAGGCGGGAACACATACAGTCAACGATGAAAGCAGTGCGACGGCAGTGAATACTGCAAGCCCAGACGCTGAGGTTGTGAACTGAAAACGCTGCATTGGCTTTTATTTGTTTATTAATTTTTTCCTTCACGGAATTATTAACTGTGTGTTGTTTCTTCTTGAGCGAAATCACATGTTTTGTTCGCTGTTTTCTGCCACTGTGTTTGGAACTTAAGGAGATAAAGATCACAGCTCCGGCGAAGTACAACGTACACAATAAAGCAAGCTTCGTCAGTAACCGCCGCTGCTTCACCAAATGTTGGATTTAGTCACTGAATTAATGTGGCTTTCGTAGTTTGATAATGCACGAGTAGAGCCCGCGAGGAGGGTAGGTATCTGTGATGTGGTTGGAAGAGTGCCAGTGTTCAACTTGCGCTCTCGTGCATTACTTTCCTGACCGCTCTGCAGTAACAGTTCGCTGGAATGGCAGTAGCGACATTTTCATGCTTGAGTCAAGACCAATTTATTCATTGAAGTGCACCTTCCTAAGGCCCTAGCATCCTTGTACGCTGACAGTTTTTTGATAAAAAGTGTCACCGTACGTTAGTGGTCGGTGCTGTCGCTTCTGAGTACGAAAAACAAGGATTCAGATGCGTTGGTGAGTTTTGTTACATTCGTTTGTTTCATCGCGAGAATTTCATGCCGCGGAAATTTCGAGCCCCTTGTAGATGCGGTTGAGCGGTGGGAACACCGAATTGCAGTGGAACTGCAAAACTGGTTTCAGATTCGTCAGTTCCACTTGTGCGTTGCAGCAGCTTCCGGCATCCAAGCACTCAGTGTCTTCCGCTCTGAAGTTGACTTAGTTTCTTTCTCGGCCTGAGGATTTGGGTCATGAGGTAGTGAGGTTCAGAAAAGCGAGTTTAGGCCGCTGATTCGGTGTTGTAAGGCCAACTAAATCATCGGGCCTTTCGGGTTCACTTCACTGTAGACAATTTTGCAAAATGGTGAGCAGGGGAATGTTTTCATCTCCAGCAAATCTTCATTCAAATCCAGCAAATCTCCAAATTCAGTTACCGAAATACTAGTTTGTAGTCTTAAAGATTATATATTTTGGCCAAAGCACGCATGTGCCATACATGGGATTGGCATAAGCTTCTCTTCGCACGAAAACACATGAGGAGTAATGCTGATGGTGTTTAGCGTTAAGTGAAATTGCTGTGCAACGAGTTGCTGACGAGGGTAGTGGAGGGGGCGAACGCATATAAGACTGGTGGCTTGCTGCAGAGTCTCCTGTAAAGGTGGACCGGCTTCTTAGAGTAGTACTTGGAGTGTAACGGTCCGAATTTTTCCAGCCAGGTTTGACAGACTTTCGTATTCCGATGAACCAATCGTCATTTGTACTGAAATGCATAACACTCGCAGCTTGGAGGCTGTAGATCAAAATTCCCATAAATTTACCGTCAGGAAGTTAAATCGCTTGCACTACTAATTCGCTTCATCCCAACATATCAACGTCTTGTACATCCCTTATCTCCAGTTTCATTATTTCAGAACAAACTGAAAATCCAGCTGACCTCATTTTCCCCTCTGTTTTGTTGACGACTTCCAGAACACGGAATCACTGTGCAGTCTGAGCAAGAAATCGTTGATGTGTCGGTGTAGCACGTGAAACGTTTTCACTGTGCCATTTCCTGGAAGATCATCATTTGTTGGAGTGCTGTTAGCGCCCTGTATGTGCGACCCTGAATCACAACATCATTCAGGGTCGCATTTTGGGACGAGGTAAGTCGTTCAGGGTCACATCTGGGGATCTGGGAACGTCCGGGACTTCGCAAGGTCGCATTTGGGGACGCCGGGGACTTCGCTGCCGCAGCAAAATCGCTGCGGCAGCGAAGTAGATCACAGCGGTGTCACTATGTCGAAAGCAACGATGCGTTACGTGGGAGACTATGAAAGGATTAGCGCTTGCACATACGTTAAACCCCGTGATAAGCGGGTTTTCGCTATGTCTTCCTGATGATCATCATCGTATCAATAATTTAACAGCAAGACAAGAATGTGTAAGGTCACAAGTAATGTATTTTTTCGCATGTGACTTTACATGTTCTTGTTGTCAAATTATTGACCCGATTTGAAGTCGGCTAGATTTTCAGTTTGTTCTAAAATAACAGAGTAGGAGACAAGGGCCAACGACCTGACATTCCTTTAAGGAAGAGGCCCTAATAACCGCACCAGGGTCCCGACCCAAACGGTATCTCAGTTAATTTTTCATGGGACTGGTCTTCCACTCGGCTAAGTAGCGGAGCTAGCGGGAGGGTGCCGATTAGTTTTTATGCGTTTTGTGCTGCGTAGCAGCGTTACAAAACGCATATTGTCACGGGGTTGTGTGTGTGTGTGTGTCCCACATTTTGTCCCGCACTTCCAATTCGGGAACCACAAAAGCTAGGCGGCTGAAATTTTGGTATAGTGTTCCCCGCCAACGGGTGACACGGCAAATTCAAATTCAGCCTTCCCTTACCCGCGGGTAGCTCGTACGGCCCCGTGAAAGTTTTTCACGGGTAAGTTAATATCTCGGGAATGACGGAGTCTAGGAGGCTGAAATTTTAAGGTAATGATCCTCTGCCCATGCTCAACCTTGCCCATTCAAATTCAGCATTCTCGCGCTCTCGAGTACCACCTACGGCCTTGTGAAAATTTTGGCAGGTAAACTATTAACTCGGGAATCACGGAAAGATATTCATCCTTCTAGGTTTCGAATTCGGCTTTCATGCGCTGGTGCGTGAAATTTCTAACTATTTTCCAATGTTTGAACTATTTTTGCATAAAGTACAAAGCAGTGAAAATCATTAATATGCAATCGTTCGATGGGCTGAATTGCACAAAACGC